ATGATCTCCTCTCATGGAGACATTTTCTTCACGTCTGCTGATTTATAAAACATAAAGAGAATATTTCTTCTTCTTAAAATTCTGCCGCTGCGTCTTTATAATTAAAGAGCTGCTTTCATGCCAGAGGCTTCTCTCCAGGAAAAAAAAAGCAAACCATTTGCTGATCTGGTGTTGGAGAAGTGAGAGACTCTTTTGTTCTTTCATTAAAGTCAAAAATATCTCATAAAATGCGTCTTTTACCAGAGCTGCTCTGTGTTGTTTCTGTGGCGCCACAGAGGAGAATTTACCAGCCCGTTTTGGGGCCAAATGAGCGAGTGCCATGACATTTTGGGGGCAACTCCCTCCTTAAAACTGCAACCATGATGTCATCCTGAAATACGCAGACTTGTAAATACCAAGAGGCGTGAAGTTGGATGCAAAAGTTGTTTAACATTATGTTAAAAACGATGACTCTTCCAGGACTTAAATGGGTTTATGGGGCGTCTAAAGTCAAAATGACCAGAATTACACTGAACTAATTAAATGTTTGCCTGTTAGTGCTTTAATGCAGCTCCCAGAGGGACAGGAGCATGTGACCGAATGGGAGAGCATGTGTACTTCACTCCGTCTACCCAGCTGTGAAACGAGAGGGCTGACGAGGGGGGGATGGGAGCAGAGGTCAGGCCTGAGAGAGAGAGGGAGGCCTGATGAAAAGAGGGGTGGAGGAGGGAGGTTAATGCTTGATGGGACAGCAGTAATTCTTCTCCATTAGGGTTACTGTGTCAGCAGGGAGCCGCAGACTAATTAACAAACCACAACGGGCCGTAAAAGAGGGTCAATCGATTCAGAGTCCAGTCAGCATCCCGTGTTCAAACGTTTACAGTACTCATCATCATCACGGAGAGCGCCGGCTGACACGTGACTGCAGAAGGAGAGGAGATGGAAAGCGACAGGGCCTCTGCTCAGGCCTCGGGGCCCCCCATCCAGATCGGGCCCCCCGCCTGAGACATGGAGAGGCAGAGAGCCGAAAAGAGCCTCGTCACCAACTGTCAGCATCGTTTCTTCTCCAGTTGCAGAGAAGCTCCTGCACACATCCACGCGCCCAGAAAAGAAAAAACACTCCAAACCTCGGGGTGATCAGCTCACGTGGAACTTTGCTTCAGTTCAGATAATCTCTTCTGAATTATTTCTCTAATGGGAACAACCCCCCCCCCCCCCCCCCAAAATCAACAAAAAAAATGGATCAATGCATTTTTAAGAAAAGCTAGAAAATGAGGCATGCATGTTCTATAGACCCACTGGTGCAGGAGTCCTACAGACCCACAACTGCAGGAGTCCTACAGACCCACAACTGCAGGAGTCCTACAGACCCACAACTGCAGGAGTCCTACAGACCCACAGGTGCAGGAGCCCTACAGACGCACAGGTGCAGGAGCCCTACAGACCCACAGGTGCAGGAGTCCTACAGACCCACAGGTGCAGGAGCCCTACAGACGCACAGGTGCAGGAGCCCTACAGACCCACAGGTGAAGGAGCCCTACAGACCCACAGGTGTAGGAGCCCTACAGACCCACAGGTGCAGGAGTCCTACAGATCCACAGGTGCAGGAGCCCTACAGACCCACAGGTGCAGGAGCCCTACAGACCCACAAGTGCAGGAGCCCTACAGACCCACGGGTGCAGGAGTCCTACAGACCCACAGGTGCAGGAGCCCTAAAGACCCACACGTGCAGGAGCCCTAGAGAACCACAGGTGCAGGAGTCCTACAGACCCACAGGTGCAGGAGTCCTACAGACCCACGGGTGCAGGAGTCCTACAGACCCACGGGTGCAGGAGCCCTACAGACCCACGGGTGCAGGAGTCCTACACACCCACGGGTGCAGGAGTCCTACAGACCCACGGGTGCAGGAGCCCTACAGACCCACAGGTGCAGGAGTCCTACACACCCACGGGTGCAGGAGTCCTACAGACCCACGGGTGCAGGAGCCCTACAGACCCACAGGTGCAGGAGCCCTACAGACCCACAGGTGCAGGAGCCCTACAGACCCACAGGTGCAGGAGTCCTACAGACCCACAGGTGCAGGAGCCCTACAGACCCACAGGTGCAGGAGTCCTACAGACCCACAGGTGCAGGTGTAGAATCTACTCCTCGTAGAATAAAAGCGACACTTTAAACCAAGTTCCTGTCAGACGTTTCTGTGTAAGAGCTCCCAGTTCCTCGCTTGCTCATAAGCATCCAGGGAGGAATTCATCAGTGTTTCATGGTGGTTTTAGGATTCCACAGCGGAGCAGCTTACTGGACATCATATACAATCACCTCGTTAACGTTTAATCACCTCCCTCTGCCCGTTCAGCTGCTCTAATGCAGGAACCGGCATCAGTTCACTACGACCTCATTTCAGGTGAATATTAGCCATCCATTCACCCAGCTGATACAAGGACAGCCTCTCCTGACCGGCAGACTGCGAGGAGTATAATCCCTCAGGTTTAATCCCACTGAGGCAGAGCAAGGCCACACGTAGAGGACATGATGGCGAGCCCTACCATCAGTCCCACCACAACCCCGGACCCCAGACAAACCCTGAGACTATCGACTAACAGAGACACTCCTGAACAAACCTCCATGTTTGCCCATGTGGCGGAGGGGGGGGCGGGGGACTGCTGGAACTCGCTGAGCAAACGAAACCAAACGAGCTTCAGACTGACTTAACAGACTGCTGTCATCGACTCAGAACGCCCACTGGACCTTAGGATTAGCTTCATATTTACTAATAAACCCTTAACCCTCTGGAGGCAGGCGCTGCAGATTTGCAACGTTAAAACCTGCCTACCTGGTTACTCCACACACGTATTTCATGAGCATTTTTTAACTCGGAAGTACCCCCGAAGGACTTAGTTGTTCGTCCTTTTTTAACAAAACTTATTTTAAGCCTGAGAGGGTTAAATTCCGCCTGCCTGAAGCTGAACTCAGTTTCATCTCAGATACAATTTCTAACCCTCAACACGAACCAAACTTAATTCTTAAATTGTCTTAATTGCTTCCATTGAGAGAAGATCAGCTACCAACGGACAAAATAACTTCATGCAGAAATCTGCACGGATGACCCAGAGGTGTGAAATCTTTAATCCAAAGTCTGACCTACTTATTTCCGCCCACTATTGTACTAATGGACCCAGCTGAAAGCAGCTTCCTGTCGGTGGCAGCAGGAGCCATTCAACCCCTCTTTGTGACTGCAACGAGGCTGGGAGGCGCTTCTACCTGTGGAACCAGAGATAGGCCACGCCCCCACAGAACATTCAGCTTTTTGTTCATCGGCACACCTGCATGCAGGTGGATGAAAGGGCTTCCTCGTGTGTTTTCTATGTTCCACGTCAGCACAGAGTGCCTGCTTCCTGTGTGGGATCTGATGCCAACGCGATAATCTGTCTACACCTGGAGATAATAGTCAGCGTCTGCGATGAAAAATCCAACAGGAGGTAAACCACCGGATGATAAACTGGGAATATCATTCACGAGGGGGTTAAGTGTCTTGAAACAAATTTTTTTTTTCTTTTTGATGTCCATTGCCCTTTGCAACTAAAAGCCTTTTCACTTAAGTATCTGCGAGACAGAAGGTTTGGTGGTTAGTAACCAAATTGTGAAGCCAAAAGGCTATCAAGTCATTTTTTCACCAAATTGCAAAAAGACATTTTGCATAACATTTGAAATTTAGGTAAACAAACCCCATGTGACCCAACCGTTAAAGCAGATTTTATGAAAAGTATTGGAAATCTGTGTGATCCACGCGAAAATGTGTATGCTGTGCTTGGTTTATGCTTGACGCATTTACTTTCCGCTTGGTGATGCGGCTCGCGGATGGAACGCGCTTCACAACTTGCAGCGTTTATGGTTTGTGTGGCTCGTCTCTGCGGTGAGCCAATATTCTCCCAAACTGTAGGGGGCAGCATGGAGCTCTACGACATGCATCCAACACGACACCATAGTAGAAGTAAAAATTACTGTTGTTTACAACATGGTGTAAGGTTATGAAGTTCATGGTTTTCAACTCCATACAGCTGGCCCCTGGGCACAATAACACCGTGTAGAAAAACCAAGGTCGGGTTGTTCCTCAGACTGTTTACATTCCAGGAGAAGAGTCCGAAGGAGAAGAAGAAGCTTTACCTAATCAAAGTACTTTATTTGTGATTAAAATTATTAAGCAAAACAGATGTTGATCAACAATAATCAAGTGAATGATCTGTGAAATAAATATGTCATGAATTATGTTTAATGAAACCAGGACTACGGTGCAGACATACTGATCCTCATCTCCATAGAAATGCATGACACATTGTTCCAACCAATCAGAGCTTTCGGCTGCCGCAGGAGAATCTGGTGTTGACTTCAAGTGTCCAATCTACTTTACTGAAACTTATCAACAATTCAGAGATATAAAACAAGGCAACGCCATTTTAAGTCAGTTCCATCTTGACTTCAGTTCTGTTCACCATCATCCTAAAGACAAGCGCAGCCTGGCCGGATGTGTTTTCTTTAAACTAAGAACTGTGAAACGGGAGATTTTCGTCGTTTAACAACCAGACGACGTCCTTTCAAAATAAGAGCACCTGCTGACGCCGCTGAACGGTACCGGGGTTAACCCTCCAGACGGGCTTTGAAACGTTGTGATCGCTGCACCGACAGTTCCACCGTACATCCGAGGTTTCCAGACCTGGCAATTCCTGATCTACTTGGGAGACCCCACTGGGTACGTACACGGCAAAATAGCGGCTCATGTCATCACTTTATAAGCCTCGTGATACCTAGTCATAACAAAGACGACCAGATTCGATTACGTCATCCTAGAGAATCTGAAC